TCTTACTTTTTCTTCGATTCTTCCTTCATTGTATATTTTGTATTTATTTAAATACTTCTTGTTACATTGTATGTAATTCCAGTGTTTTTTCAACAATGTTATTACCTCTAGTATAATATTTTTTAATTGAGTTTTATGAATAAAACATTGAAATTGGAAGAAATTTTTGATTATAAAGATCTGTAAATAAGTATCATTCATCTAAGAAGATGTAAATGGGTAAAATTTTGTCCACAGTTGTGTCTGTTAAATGAAGCACCTTTACACTGTCTTAGTGAAATTTTGAAATATTAATATTCATTATCGAAGCTTGATAGTGACAATATATGAGCATTGTCGAAACGTATTTTGAATAATTAAATGGAGGCTAATGTGAATATCTTTTTATTTTGTTTTTAAATATACAGACTAAAAAAGCGTTTATATATGAAAATTCTTAATGTTTTAAAAATAACAACTGGCTGAACCATTGTGATTACATCGCACAAAAGGAATAAATATAGAAGAGTTGCAACAAAAAAACAAACAAACAGAACATATGCACTAAACAGTCGGACAACCTCCTCCAGAATATTGTTTCATGTGGTTCAGTTCATGTTCCTGAAGTCTTACACCATGATGGAGGTTTACGAATTTTGGGACAAAACAATCACTATTCCTTGTTTACCCGTTAATATGTTTACCCTTTTCAACATATTTTTGAAAACGTAATTGTAATATTGAATACTAGTGGAAACCCGCGTTATTAAATATCAGGGGAATTTTAAAGCCGAATCCACTTACTTGGATATTATACTTACTTTGATTATTAATACTTACTATTATTACTTATTATTAATATTACTTACTCTGGATATTTATTTACATTTTTCATCTATTCAGACAAGATAAAGAATACATTCTGTCGGTAGTGTATCCTCTTCCTAGACTGATCTGGCATGGTCTGCTCAAACCCACCGCACTCCTTGCCACTGTCCTCCCACTGTGCTGCCTTGCTTGACCCCGATACTATCCGCATTACCCCCAGGTTGTGCGTGATGACGACATTTCAAACAATATTATTTTCATTTTATTAATGTTTATACAACACACAAAAATGTAAATTACAATGCATACATCAGTGACTTACAGCTTTCAAATGGCACCTTCATTGCTGCGATTGTCGGAGTAGTTTATCCGGAAAAGGGATGTTTATTTAATACATTATAGAAATAATACTACATACGATGTATCGTATTAATGATTTATATAGCTTCTGGTCGTGTATGCTGTAGTGGACTATTGCAGGAAATCCTTTTTTTTTGTGAGAGCACATATTTCAAACGATTGTTGGAAATCGCTTAGATATGCACTCAGAAATCTTTACATTCTAAAACACTAAATCTTCGTACTTGAAAATCTTACAATCTACACTTCGCCAAATATAACTTAACACTCATACGCGCATGCTCATTGTAAACGACGAAAATGTGAAGGCTTTCAATAGATCGATGGTAATGCACACAATCAACCGACATTATGAACAAACGACCAAACGACTGCATGAACAAATTCTGTCGTGAAGAAACGACGACACATGAGGGTTCTTTATAGTAACTTTAAAATGTTATTAACATTTCGTATTTATACTAGAACCCGGTTAATAAAAGCATCTGCGTTAAAGCGATAAACATCTGGAGCCAACTACCTTTCATATAAAGCAAAAGTTTACAAAAGTAGGTTGAGAACAAAATTCGCAGTTCTAAGTGCAGAATATAAAGATTTTTGAAATTTTCAAAATGTCAGTGTTTAAATTAAAATAGCAACTTGCTCTACACGTAAATGCACTTTCTTCTATTGCAAACATTTAAAGAACAAATAATCATTTTCCTGAAATTTTCGAAAATGTAGCAGGGGCTTCAAGTGAAGTACCCTCAGAATTAAAACATCTTAATGGTCTCCGGAACGGCACAACTAAATCTTGCTCCTGACGTATTTACTAAGTTTAAGCCCAAAGGCCTCTAATGTGACAGAGTTATACGAGTGACACATCGATCCATCCATCCAGACATACCGATTTTCGAGAATATGAGTGTACATCCTCTCCACCTGCATCTATCTTAATCGTCTTCTTAATCCTGACTTCTTTCGCTAACATTTTTTGGGGAACTCTTTGTTAATAGAGCGAGTTCGAGTCAAGTGTTTTAGTACATCAGCGATATTAATTTTCTACCTGGAATCGACGGCATATAATACTTGAAAATGTTGTGATTGTCCTGTTAAATGTGTTTAATTCAGTTATAGCACATTTATATAAGCTACAATTAACCAGGTACATCAAACCCAGAAAAAATAAATGTATTAAAATGTTCTGACGATACATGGGGCCGGAAAAATAGGGAGAGAAACGGCATTTACAAGGTATTGAGTTTTAAAAAAATGAACCGGAGGGGTGAGAAGGAAGAATAGTTTACGCCGTTTGAGAAGGATTACCCATTGACCTACTTGCAGTCCTGAGGGAGGGGACGGTTGGAGTGAGCTATTAGCGAATGTAGATATAACACGTAGGACATGATCACGATAAATAAATGGGACTGACTCTTTGTTTGAACAAATGGACACATTGAACACCAAGGCAATGCAGTGGCTCGCTCGAGAGATGAGTGAAACTTGCAACTAGACCGACGAACTATTGTAACAAACTACACGAGTCATGTGACTGGATGCGCCTCCACCAATTACATTACGCGCGTCCGAGGAGGGGGAACGACTGGCTTTTAAAAACATTTTTAGAGCACTTCATTGATTTGTTTGCGACGTTTTAGGTCATCAAAATCCGCACCCTACTGATCATTCATCTCACCCAATGCTATTTTATTCCTTAGTCGATGACTAATGCTGTTTTTACCAGAAACACTTTGGACATATGATCTTCCTCCAGAATCATCTATTTTTCAATGCTCGTTTTCTTGGAAACCAACGCACTTTAAGTCGCGTCGATATTATCCTCGTTCTCTATCCATTTTCTCAATTTTTGACGAATGCTACTTTTTTTTCCGAGAAACTTTTCATATGTGTATTTGGAGCTACACGATCGTACCAATTGAGTATACTTTCTGATAACAGGGAGAATGTGTGCATTTGCATTGAAATCACGTCCCAATTCACCCATTTATCTCAACCATTTAAACCCTACAGATCTTTAAACAAGGAAAGTGATATTGTTCTCGATGTTTTAAGGTTCCATCTTAAATGGCATTTCTAGAATTCCTATACAGAAATCAACAGAATGAATTAACTTTTAGATAATTGATTTTCTCAATGATCATTCCAGAATATAACAGAAATGTACAAAATGAATTAATCTTCAGATAATTGATTTTCTCAATGATTATGTTTGCAAGATTAAATAGTGTGTTCTGCAGTGCATGAAGTTCAGTACAATGCAAGGTGGTAATGTACCACCTAATTATTTTAGATCACATTAAAAGGGTAGGGGATTTACATAATTTCAAGTTGTTTTAAAAGTGATGTAATATATTTGAAGATATAATTTAGGATAAGGTATATATTGGATTTTTCCATAATAGGCAGAAGGGAGTATTGAAGATTTTCATTGTTCATACTTATGGTGATATTTCATTCACATCTCATATATTAGAGAGTGATCCTTAAAGCATTTGTTAATTGGTATTTGAGAAGATGAATTTTTGAAATAAATATCAGATACTACCAAAATGAGTAAAGATATTGGATTGTTTGCTCACTTGTCTCTTACACAGATTTCAAAAATTGTCATTGGAGGTGAGGGAAGTTTTAAAAACCCCATTTAAAAAAATAATTCAACTTACATTTGTTTCATTAATTGAAACTATTGTAGATTATAATTTGGTTTTAAATATTCTTTATTATATTTTTATAAAATATAGTCTAGTACATTAGTTTAATGTATCAATAAAGAGAAATGAGTCATTTTTGATGTGGTGTTTTGTGAGACGATTATATAAAAAATGGTTTTGCAATGAATAAACTAAATGACAGTTACAAATATTATTAATATAATTTACAGTTGTGTAAGAATATTATAAAAATCTGGAAATCTGTTTAAAAACATAAAAAGGTATTTCATTAAATTGATATTAAGGGAGGTTTTAGATCACTAGAATGAATGGCAAACCATATTAAGTTATGTGTAATAATATGAACAACATGGGTCCAAAAGTGATGTTCTTTTTTCTACACTGTTTTAAAAATATTAATTATACTACTTACATTACATTAAATTTCTCCCAAATGAATTAATAAAATCATTTGGAACATTAATGATTCAACATTATAGTGAATTAATGTAAAAGCATTTTACATGATTAAACATTTATGTTTAATTATATGTCTACAATCGTGTTTTTTGGAAAGATATTTGATGTTTAACATTTTTTAAGGAAAACAGTAGTTGAAAATTTACTCCTACAAGATGTAATCATTTTCATTTTGATGATTCATTCAATTAAGAAAATCAATGAAAATCAAAGAACATGTTATTTTAAAATAAAAATTGAATGTTAATGTAATATTGTTTTGTATTTTCTTGTGCTTTAATAATCATGTTTTGTATAGTTGTTAAAAAGCAAACTGAGAACTACTTGAGGAGACCTCATTACTTCTATTTTCTTGAACAAATCAAAAGAACTGAACACTTAGCACTTCAAATCATTGTCTTACTGTTAATAAGCCCATAGTTATAATACCATTCTCCAATATCAGTATATTCTTGAATTCACTGTTTTAAATTTAATGTTACAAAAAAAACCAGAAAAAACAATCAGACACAATGAAGGAAAACACTTGACAAAAGTAGACTTCACTAATTTCCTGATTGAAAGCTTTTTAAAGGAAAATTCTAAAAGTTTGCTTTAAACAATTTAAAAAACCCTTGGTAAACATCATAACACAACCTTGAAGGGATGTACACGTGTGCATGTAGAACACAACACTTGTTTAAAAATATCAAGTAATTCTCTGGAAACTACTGGATATTTATTTTCTACATTTCCCTTATTTCAGCTTCCTGATAATTACATTCTCAACTACTAAATAGAACCTTAAAGAAAATTAATATTGCTGCTATAGCAAATGAAATTGGACTTCTAAGTGCAGCTGCTCCACAAGTGAGACGAGAATGCCTGATTTCTATGGTAACATCGTCAACATCTCGACAGTAAATATCTGTAAATGAATCGAAGAGAAAAAAATATGTTAGTGGCATTTCAAGGTATAATACTTCATGAAATACAATCATACAAACCATTGCATCTTAATTCAGATTCTGTGACTTCAACTGATATGTAGAGAGGATTGCATGTTTCAAATGTGTTGCTGCCAGCACAAGGTGTGTTCAATACAATTTCAGTTTCTGACCCAGTAAGTGAAGTACATTCACTATCATTATCTTCATCACTATCGTCATCATGAGGATATTCGTTAGTTCGTGAATAACAGATATTCACAGTTCCTTTGCTTTTCTCTGATATCTAAACAACAAAAATATGAAGAAAAATGAGAAAATATTTAAGTTATGAGCAGACATAATTAAGTAATATTTCTACTTACCTTAATGGTTTCAGAATCAATCCCAAATAAGTATCTAGGATGGATACGGTAATATGCTGTGTGATGATCAGAAATAGATTCATATATGTCAATTCTATCATATTGACTTTCCTTCCACTCAATACCACATACAGGATTTGCAATTCTCCTGGGAACTGTTGTGAAAAGTAAAAATTTCAGTTTTCATTCAAATAGAAAAAGCAAAAAATAAAGAACAACTTAATAACAATAAAATGAAAATTACTTCTTTTGATACGATTTGATAGATCTGCTGTTTCTATTGGAGTACCAGCATTGTAGTAAAAGGTAATTAAATCTTTGTCAGGATCTTCAAGCAGTATTTTAAAGGAGAATTTTTCTTGTGTTGCAAACACCAGAAACCTTACATCTGAAATCAGAAATATTTTGATAGCGGGTTATTATATATTACTATTATGTTGCCAGATGACACTAATGACAGCTTATTTCGAACCTGGATATTGATTCTTGTATTCATCAATTTTATTTTCAACATTTGTGATTTCTGCTGATGGAATGTCATAGCTTGTTTCTGGCATAAGAACAACTACATTAGCATGAACTGCTGCCTCATTGTTCTCTTTCTCTGCTTCAAGTTGATTAGAAAAATGATCATATAATGACCCATCCAACAAATCATAAAGTTTCATTCCTGTAGCACCTGAAAATTGAAGTTGGTTTTCAGATACTTCTGTATTTTAAGTCAATTTGAGCATTAAATACAGGTTGCAAATTATATGTTTGAAATTCCTATTAAAAACGTTATTGCTATTTTTTCTGGTGAACTCGATTTTTACTTTCTCCTTCTTAAGAAAGTACTTCTTAAGAAGAGAAAGTTGTGTAATGCTGCGTGAAAAATGGCAAATTTTCGGCAGAAAATTCTGATTACAGGGCTCTGATAACAAGTGGATACATCCAGTTGCTAAATAAAAAAAAAAAATCTCTAACACATGGTGTATTCGAAACTCCTGTTTTGTGGCTCCTTGATACCGAAAAATCGATTGACGGCAAAACGTCTGTCGGCTTGTTAGTCCGTCCGTCCGTCTGAGAAACAGCCGTCAGATAAGGCGTTCAGCGGAATGTCTCCAAAATTGATATTCCCGGATCGATCTGGCTGATGTCGCAGACCATTGAATTTGAAATTGATGTTTTAATTTTGAGGGTACTTTACATGAAGCCCTTGAGACATTTTCGAAGTTTTCAAAACAATGTTGACATAGATTTTGAATAAGTTTTGTTGTTGGATAGTCTAAAGAATTTTAAAGAGAATGACACAGTTATTTGAAAACTTCTGATTTTTCGAAAATTGAAATTATTTTAATTTTTTTTCGGAGTATTCCGACAACTGAAATATTACAAATAGAGATTTTTCCCTTAATAGAATCTGTGTCTCAGTGAAAGATTTTGAAATAAGGTCATGTACAATTGTTTGAAAATTTGAGTATTTTTCGCGAAATTTTGCTTGAAATAAAGGCAATTTTTATTTTTTTTCTTCAACCGGCGTCATTGATTTTGATTAAATTGTGTTAGTGGATAGTCTGAAGAACGTTTAAGAAGATGGTGCAGATCTTACGTTGGTTAAAAACCCTGCTTTTTCGAGAAATCAAAAAATTCAAAATTTTGCCTTTGTTTTGCTACAAATACAATAATGAAGATACAACTTTTTTCTTAATGAAATATGTTCATCAAAAACAGATTTTCAAATAAATTATCGAAAATATGTTTATTTTTGGAGTAATTGGGTATCAAAGTTAGTCGCCCGCTCTGAAATTCCTGCGCGCCTTGATCTTAATTTTAGAGGTTTTTTGGGGCAGTTGGATGCTACGTAAGTTAGGATGTGTATATTATTTCATATTTAATATTTCTTTGTTCGTGTCTTCTAATGAAGTTTTGTTATACATTTACAGATAAATCTTTTAGAAATTATTTAAAATCTATTTGAAATAAATTTGAAATGAAGATTGCTAGCCCTCAATCGGTCGCTCCCAATTTATGCAGTTGCATGTTACCTAAGTTAGAATGTGTATTTCATTTTATTATCATTAATTGTATTTGTTATTTCATTTTAAATTGCGTCCTTTAATTGTGGTAAATGTGAAAAGTAATAGATGTGTGGTTATTGTTGGTTGTTGTTACCCATTGTAACTCCGCACAGAAAACAGAAGTCGATAATGACTGCTCATTTTCATTCACGGTAATGAAAATTAATACGGTTATACATTTGTAGAAAAATACAATTCTGTAGTGTTTAATAATTATATATATTTCGATCTATTTGCATTTGTTTGTCAACGCTATCAGTATCAGAACTATTTATTAACTTTTAATTATTTTACTTTCACGGAATCTGAATATTTTTTGTACCAATTGTTCTACGATTTCAAATGAGTTTTACAAAAACTAATTCAGAGAAAAATTGTGTTGTAAATAGTATTACATAACCATTACTAATGGCGAGAAAGAATGTGCAGTTTTAGCACCACTAGTTTTTTAGAAAATTTGAACTGTTAGGGAAAAATTGGAAACAATATATACTTGTGTTTAAAAAAAATAAATGATGCATTTTATAAATACAGGGTTTCAAGTGGGATCAAAATATAATGTTTTTCACAAATGGATGTACAGACTTTCGTGAAAACAAACAAATAAAATTTTTCCTGTATCAAGTTTCTCCAAAACGTAAAAGTGACCTTGTTAGCATTATTTTGCAATACACAAATTATCATTACTAGGTACTTATGCAAGAAAGTGAAAAATATTACTTTAATGTACTACATAGCGTCATTGATGATAGAAAAAATACTACATGAAAAATACATAAATTTACAGGAGGAAGGAAAAACACATTTCGATATTAATGTTTAATTGGCTTAGTTTAGACATTCTACACTTTCTATGTAATATTATTAAATAATTATTTTCGTAATATGTTTCTGAAAGCACCTTATAAAATCCTCCCAAGTTGCCCCTACTACACACGAGATATTCTATGGCCAATAAATTGTATAGGTCACATAGGAGGTTTTAAATTTCTATTTTAAGACAATTTATAGTTTTCTTTGGAAATTTTCTTAACAAATTAAAGAACAAGCATAAATTTAATAAAGCTTCAAGCTTCATTAATGTGGTGTCAAGAAATGAAGTATTCAGTGAGGCTCTACTGTAAATCTTCAACACGTAACAGCCGACTTTACTTTCCCTCCGAAGGAATGGTTCGAAGAATTTTTCGTTCTTAAAAATCCACGGCTTTGATCGACTTTCAACCAGCAAACCATGTAACAGTCCGATACGCTAATCGTTACCCCCGCGAAACAGCAAAATATAATAGTTATTATAATATATACTATACAATAATATATTGCTTATAATTTAAACAAATATATTATTTGCCGAGAGTTTTGAGTGTTTCAAATCGATCGAACAGTGCATGTTCTTAATATTTTACATTTATTATAATAGAATGAATGGGCTTACAAGTGAGTGAATGAATGAATATCACAATTGGGCTGTTATGAACTCTGCACATTTTAACATTTACATGAATTGTAAATAGCAGCATACTTACATTGTCTATAAATTGTAGCGTTTTCTCTCAAATTGTGGGCAAATGTATGGAGTTGGTCCGATGTTTCAAATAGTACTTGGTGATTTTGCCCACTGATTACAGTGATTTTACTTCCTAGAGGATGTAATTTGATATCCTCGGCTATAGCGCTGTGGACAAAACATAATTTTGTATTTGAATAATGTAATTGAATATCATAAAATCAGAGTTCTGACGTTTAATTTATAATTTTCAGAGGAAGATGTGGGAACGTTGTCATGAAAATTACCAAAAGTTAATAAAACTTACAGTACATTGATATTTGACAGCTTACGCGTAAAACTTTAAAAAAATAATTTTCCAGGAACTTGTAGTAGCTGTGATCATTTATTTGTAAACATTAAAAATTCCAATATAAATTACTTTGATTGTAAATTTTGTCGTAACAGCAACGTTGTTTAATAATACACCGTAATCAAAATGTCAAATTGTTTACTCGTTTTGACGGCTTTCAAATCAATCCCATATCCAAAAACTGAGAGTAACGAGATTTTGCTGTGGGGTCTTTGGATATTTATCCTTAAGAAAGAGCAGTACGCCAAATGTAAATGTACTGTTCTAGATCTGACTTTCGGCTTCTTCCGTCATACAAAATGTGATTTTGAATTCAGATTTCTAACGGCTTAGTAAGCTTAAGACTCCTTTCACGGGCCGTTTCATTATCAGGATGATTTTTAAATATAGTGGTCGATGGCGGCATTCCCTTGAGAAGAGAATGTGTTTGCAAATACACGTTTGAGTTCAGTTTAATAAAAAAATACTTTAGTTACATTCAAGAACACCGATACCCGCACGTTTGGTGACATTGCAGATGACAGGACATTAGGATCTCGCATTCTCTGGCAGACTTAAATACCTTACTTTTCACACAGAGGTCCTGTACACAATGTTTGAATTCTGCAACCACACTCAAGGTGCATGCTAATATTAAAACACATTATAAATTTTAAATAAATACATGTATTTGCAATTTTAATAATAAATTAATTTTAACAAATCAAACTTGTGCATCATTTTTCTCACTATCCGTAGTCACACATCTACGGCAGTTTAGGCTGCAGCCCAACAAAACCTTATTATATTGTCGTTTGTTAATTAAAATTGACTTATAGCAAATTATTGTGTAATTTTATGTACATAAAATTAACTTACAAAAGTGCAGGGTACAAATCGTCATAGCTCCATCTGCAGTCCACAACCACTATTACGTTTACTTTGGCTTCGGGGAATTTATCGTCAGCCGATCGTACTTTGGCATCACAATCAGCTTCATTATGGGTTGCTGAAAAAATAGGCATCTGTGTATTAAACAGTTTATCACAAAAAAATGTTAGTCATAGGTTACGAATGTTACTTACGGACAGTTCTGTCTAATTCCTCAACTGCATCTGTTGCATATTTGGATAGTCCGTCTGATTGTATAGTCGGCAGAAGCGGAGTAGCGTCATAGAGGGCGGAAGCGAAACTTGTCGTCTGTAACACATTTTTTTTTATTTCCAGCATAAACAATTTACTTTCAGATCTGAGAGTGGTTGGGGTTAATAACTTTTTCTTACGATTAACATTTACAACACTGAGTAGTCAAATGCGATATGGCAAGATTCCTATGAATAATGAAGAAAAGCTAAAACATAACCGACATATGTATCACGATGATCAGGACCACCTCAATATAAGAGCAGCGATACCCCCAAGTTCTCTTCTTTTGTGACATCAGTAGTTGAATAAATGCTCTTCCCGATGGCTTCGTGAATCGCGAAGTTCCGGAAGATGGGCACGATTTCATCGCCAACGCACAGCGAGTAATAGGGCGAAGCCACGGGAGCATAATCTCGTTTACTGGCGGTCTGCGTTACCTGAAGTATCTTACATCAAGGAGATAGATATTTCCATCAAAATCTTGTCATCGACGTTTTCGAGCATTATATACCTTTCTTTGCTCTACACATAGAGCAAAGAATTTCATAGAGCATAGAGCAAACAATTTCTCATGCACGGTTATCTCGTAGGTTCATGAACGTCTCGAGGTGACAACAACAACAAGCGGGTTTGTAGGGCGCCTGCAAACATTTTGTGGAGCGAGGAGGAACATGCTCGTAGAACAGTGGTAGAAACGCTGATGTGCTTGCGTTTATAGTAATCTATATCTATTGAAAATAATATGAATATGCCAAAGTGAATATTTGAAGAATTGGTTAATGATCATTTGAGTTAATGAGCTTGCGAATAATTTATTCATGCATTTCGCAGTTCATCAAATTGTTTTAACTCGACCGTCTGGAAACTAGATTATATTATGTTGGCACAAAAATATATATTTTCATTCCAAGCATGCTTCTCCTGAATTTCAACAAGAAAGGTTTATACAGGAAAGGAAATATTGTTAATTTTAATTGCATAATAAAGTGCATATTTCAGAATTTTTAAAATCATAATCGCAATCATAATCATAAAAGTATATTTTAAAATTTTTTAGAACATAAAAATCCTCTACCTATCTAATAAAAACCCTTACATGTACATAACCGTCACAAATAGAAGAAAGGCAATGCAGGGTTGTAGCATCATTATTTCGGCGTATCAAATTCCCTTCCATTCTTCCGTTGCCAGAAAATCCTGACAACGGACCTGTATTCTACTCTTTCGATTAAAAAGTGTTATGCTTTTCATTAAGATGAAGTATTATAATTTTAACAATCTGTGCAGATACTAGGGCTATAAAATGTCACGGTTACAGTAGGCATGTTAAAAGAGAAAAATAGCCCTCAGCTCACCTGTGCTCTCAGTACGTCCGTCTTTGCAACATCTTTATAATGACTCTGGCGCTCACAGGCGCGATAGTCTTCATCAAACACACCGGCGTAAGAATAGTACCGCTCCAACAAAGTAGAGAGCTTAAGTGCTCCACCCGCTTTATTGTTAAAGTCTCTCACGTTGAGTGCCATGATGAGACCTGTAAAAAAATAAATAGGTAGTTTTTGCAGTAGGCAGGTATGTTGAAAGCAAAACGTTCAACTTTTCTTTTTATTTATTAGCATGATCACAGTTTTAAACTTGAATAATTGATATTGAGGGGGAGTGAAGAAATTATTGAGAAAACGAATCTTTAGGTTATAAGTTATGAGTACTTGTATTAAAAGAAAATGGTGAAAGAACAAATCGGCCCAACAGAAAAACTTCCGTGAGAAAAGAATGGTTCTCGTTTACTCAATTTTTCAATGTAATAATAATAACAAAAAAAATCTGTATGGTGCTTGAGGTATTTTGTAGAATAGCACCCAAGATCTGTGTGTCGCCGACGACATCGTCTCTTAAGGCGACTAACCGGAGCAGCTGACTGGCGTCCCTACCTGTGTAAGTTAATTCGTCTTTGCATTATTTTTCCTGAGCCCCCCCCTCGCAAGATACCGCCTCAATCCCTTTTCTTTCCTCGGGTGAAATCTGAACTCCTCACATTCAAATCCCACTCCCCCCTTTCCTGCATCTCTTCCTAAGATCATCACTCCGTGCTAGCAAGAACTGTTCCTCACGCGAAACAGGCAATCTTCTCCGATTACAACGTACAAGAAAATGGCTGTCCCCCATTCTACTACGAAGAGACGTCTGGGACGTCGTAAGGCCTCGGGAAGAGTGCCGCTGCCCAAGGAAAGCCGGGGCGCGTTTGGAGTTGGCGCTGGACTTGCTAGTGAGCGATCCGCCATTCAATACGCCGGGTGGAGGCTCACTAATAACCGGTCTCCCAAAAGTCTCTTTCTGGCAATGAACGAAGCCAATCTCCCACGAGAGCATCTCCTAGCCTGGTTGCAGGGCCTCTTCCAGCCAACGCTCAATCAGACCGGACTGCGACGACAGCACAAGAAAATGACTATTGAAGTTAATGAAAGTACTATGCTCATCTATTACCGGGTACCGATGTGCGTGGATACCGATGTGAGTTAAATGCAAAGATTTGCCAAATTTATGACTGTGACTTTTCCCAATTTACCTGATACCGAACAAAGATTATCTGATCACTAAAGAGCTATTCTATGTTTCTGAAGCTAATATACAATAATATTGATAGTAATAATAGTATTAGTAATAATAATAGTAATAATAAATAAGATAAACAATGAAAATAACACTGAAAGCAGCAGTTTCTATATTCCTTAAAATTCGAAAATTTCCATAACATTCGAAAATAATGAATTAAAAGTGTTCAAAAACACCCTAGAATATTCTTACGTTTCTTAAAAAAATAAAATAACGGTTTAAAAAAATCTCTACATCTTTCTTCCTATAATACACCACGTCACCAAAGTCAACCATAAGTTGATAAACTTAAACAAATACAAGTTCTGCTGGAGCTCAATTGGGTTAATCACAAATATTAAGTTGTTCGATAAAAGTTGTATTTGTTTGTATTTTGATACTCTGAAACCATCACGTGCAAAGCTTCAGGGCTGATCTGTCAATAAAAATGTCTTCAGAAAATTATAGAGCAGAGTAGTTGAGTCGATCAGATGGCCAGATCGCTGAGGTAGTAGTGCCATAGCGGTCTCGGACCAGAAGATCGGGGGTTCGAGTCCCGCCTTAGGCATGGGTGTATTTGTATGTGTCGTCTTCTAACCCCTCACTATCACCATCATTTCAACATCTATACCCCCAGGTCTAACAACCCTGGAGAATAAAAATAGGATCCAGCTAAATGCTGATGCCTTGATGAAATTACATGCACCTGCCACTGAGATCATTTTTCTGAGCCCCGGTAAATGGAGAGGGCATGCACGTGTGGTCCAAGTCGGCCTATTCGCGAGCAAAAAACAACAACAACAACAAAAATACAAAGCAGAGTAGTTGCCACCTCTATTGCACGCTCCGCTCGAGTTTAGCGGCCTTAGTGTTCTTGCAATACTCCCGTTAAAATGCTCACCATCGATGCCTCCCCTGATCTCCGCATCCGTCATCTCGTTGGTTTCTCCGATGAAATACCACCTCGGGACTTGGGTGCTGTTCCATTTGCCGGACGCACCCACCTTCACAGTCTGTTTAGGACCTCGCCACAGAGCCACTTCAGCCAGATCACCTGAAAAGTAACAGCTTATTTTGACACGAAGCAGAGTAGAATAATATTTTAAATATTGTGATATAAACGTAAAAGGCTGATTGATATAAACTGCAATACATAATTAATTTTTAGAAATTATAAGCAAAAATATCAATATGGGGCCCAAAATAACAAACTATGTATTATAACTTTCTTGTGAGTTTGTAGACAGGATTGTAGATATGGAGATTATAGGTAGATAGTTTGAAATGCACTGTGCTGTTTTTGTGGTGTCTAATGATTTAGATTTATTGACAGCAAGTTTATATTAAATCGGTTATTGAGTTGAACAACTGTAATGTTTGATTTAATACAGTGGAAATAAAAGCGAGAAATCCTTTCTGGCGCTGTGAAGTGGAACAAAGCGTCAAGTTGAAGCTAGAAGACATATCTTACTAAATCATATGAAATGGTAAATCGTCTAAATTACAAGTTCCACAAATTTTTAGGCAATGCTGTCTAATTAATGCCATATTAACACAACTTTACCGGAAAAGTTTTGCCAGCTTATACATGTTCCTATGTGCCTCTTTTCTTCTTATCATTTTCCTATTATCGCTTTTTTCGATTTGCATCGCCCTACTAGTTTAGCTTCTATATCTGCCGGTCCTACTCATTTCTTGCAAGTTTATCTCTGCCGCTCCGTCTGACAACCTCAATAAATGACTCTAAATAACACTGTCTTTCTGGCTGTCTCCTTTGAATTGAATTGAATTGAATTGAATTGAATTGAATTTGCCTTATTTTTCTCCTTCTCAACTATCTTCCTGGCTATTTATCTGCGTTCCTCTCTTCCTAGTTTTAACTATCGAGTTCTTCCTGCTTCGCTGTCTGCCTCCTTCTGTCTGCCAGTCTCTCAATCTGTCTGCCAGTCTCTCAATCTGTCTGCCAGTCTCTCTCTCTCTCTTTCTGCCAGTCTCTCACTCTGTCTGCCAGTCTCTCACTCTGTCTGCCAGTCTCTCACTCTGTGAGAGATATTATAACTTTCTTGTGAGTTTGTAGACAGGATTGTAGATATGGAGATTTAATAGTAGATAGTTTTTGAAATGCACTGTGCTTTGTTTTTTGTGGGTGTTAATTGATTTAGATTTTATTGACCAAAAAAAAAAAAAAAAAAAAAAAAAAAAAAAAAAAAAAAAAAAAAAAAAAAAAAAAAAAAAAAAAAAAAAAAAAGCCCCCCCCCCAAAAAGAAAGTTTTTTAAATATTTAAAATTCCCCGGTTTTATTGAGTTTTTGGAAACAACTCGGGTTAATGGTTTGGGGAATTTTAATACAAGTGGGGGGAAATAAAAAGCGAGAAAAATTTTCCTTTCTGGCGCTTGGGTGAAGTGGAACAAAGGCGTCAAGTTTTTGAAGCCTAGAAAAGACATAAATCTTTTACTAAATCCATATGAAAATGGTAAAAAAATCCCGTCATAAATTAAAAGTTTCCATTCCACAAATTTTTTTTTAGGCAATGCTGTCCCCTAATTTAATGCCAATATTAACACAACTTTAACCGAAAAGTTTTTGCCAGCTTATACATGTTCCTATGTGCCTCTTTTTTTCTTACCTTATCATTTTTCCTATACGGCTTTTTTCGATTTGCATCGCCCTACTAGTTTTTAGCTTTCTAATAATCTGGCCGGTCCTACTCAATTTTCTTGCCAAGTTTTTTTATCTCTGGGCCGCTTCCGTCTGACAACCTCAATAATGACTCTAAATAACACTGGGGTCCTTTCTGGCTGTCCCTCCTTTGAATTGATTGAAATTGAATTGAATTGAATTTTGCCTTATTTTTCTCCTTCTCACTATCTTCTGGCTATTTTATCTCTGCGATGTTCCTCTCTTCCTAGTTTTTTAACTATCGAGTTCTTCCTGCTTCGCTGTCTGCCTCCTTCTGTCCTGCCAGTCTCTTCAATTCTGTCCCTGCCAAGTCTCTCAATCCCTGTCTGCCAGTTCTCTGTCTCTCCTCTCTTCTGCAGTACCTCTCACTCTGTCTGCCAGTCTCTCCCTCTGTCTTGCCAGTCTCTCCTCTGTCCTGCCAGTCTCTCTCTCTCTCTTTTCTGCAGTCTCTCTGCTCTCTCCTTCTCTGCAAGTCTCTCACTCTTTTGCCAGCTCTCTCACTCTTTCTGCCCGTCCTCTTCAACTCTGTCTGCCAGTCTCCTCTCACTCTGTCCTGCCAGTCTCTCACCTCTGTCTGCCAAGTTCTCAACTCTGTCTGCCAGTCTCTCACTCTGTCTGCCAGTCTCTCACTCTGTCTGCCAGTCTCTCACTCTGTCTGCCAGTCTCTGCACTCTGTCTGCCAGTCTCCCTCACTCTGTCTGCCAAGTCTCTCTGTCCTCTCATTTTCTGCCAGTCTCTCGTCTCTCTTCTGCCGTCTCTTCTTCTCTCTTTCTGCAGTCTCTCTGTAATCTCTTTCTGCCAGTCTCTTCTGTCTCTCTTTCTGCAGTCTTCTCTGTCTCTCTTTCTGCAGTCTCTCTGTCTGGCCAGTCTCTCTGTCTGCCAGTCCTCTGTCTGCCAGCTCTCTCTGTCTGCAGTTTCTGTCTGCCAGTCTCTCTGTCTGCAGTCTTCTGTCTCCAGTCTCTCTGTCTGCCAGTCCTCCTGTCTGCCAGTCCTCTCTGTCTGCAGTTCTCTGTCTGCCAGTCTCTCTGTCTGCCAGTCTCTCCTGTCTGCCAGTCTCGTCTGTCCTGCCAGTCTCTCTGTCTGCCAGTCTCTCTGTCCTGCCAGATCTCTCTGTCTGCCAGTCTCTCTGTCTGCCAGTATCTCTGTCTGCCAGTTTCTCTCTGTCGCCCAGTCTCTCTGTCTGCCGTCTCCTCTGTCTGCCAGTCTATGTCTGCCAGTCTCTCTGTCTGCCAGTCCTCTCTGTCTGCCAGTCTCTCTGTCTGCCAGTTCTCTGTCCTGCCAGTCTCTCTGTCTGCCAGTCTCTCCTGTCTG